TTGACAGTTCCTCAAAATGTCAGACCAAGTTACCACATGACCCAGCAATCCACTCAGGGGTACAGAACCAACAGAACTGAAAACACGTTCACAAAACACCTGCACAGGAATGTTCACAGCAGCATCATTCACAATAGTCAAAGAGTGGAAACAACCCGAATCCCCATCAGCTGATGAATCGATAAGCAAAATGTGCTATTTCCATACAATGGAATATCATTCAGCAAGAAAAAGGAATGAAGTCCTTATACATGCTTACAACACAGATGAACTCTGAAAATACATGCTAAGTAAAAGACCAGACACAAAAGGCCACATATTGTGTGATTCCATTTTTATAAAAGGTTCAGAACAGGCAATTTCATAGAGACAGAAAATCGATCAATGGTTGCCAGGGGCTGGCGGCGGGGAGGAATGAGGAGTGGCTGCTCGTGGGTAAGGGGTTTCTTTCTGGGTGATAAAAATATTTTGGAGTTTGACAGTGGTGATGGTTATACAACTTTATGAATATACTAAAACCATTATATTGTACACTTTAAAAGAGTGAATTTATGCTATATGAATTATACGTCAACTACAAAAGGGAAGAAAGGGAGGAACACAGGAAGGCTAGAAGCCATGCTGCACCTGGATTTCTTCCAGCTCAGATGATTCCAATATAAGGATACCAACAAATGACCTAACTGAACAGTATGGGAAATCATAAAAATTTTGAAACAATTTGTAATGCAAGTTGATTACATAAAAGAGATGTCAAATTCCTTGTGCAAAAATGGGAGTTTCCAAGTCTTTCCCCCTGAGGCAAGGAAGAGAACTTTCATGTATGTTAATGACCCTGTGTCGATGGAGGTCACCTACATTTCTAGTTGAGGGAGATTAAATCCTACCGCCTGAAATCCTGACAGAACTTCTGACTTTGCTGAAGCAAATGCTCATGTGCTAGAGAAGCTTCTCCTACCAAAACACCAGACAATGCTTTATTTAATCCACATCAGAACTGGACATAAGAAGCCACAGAGTCAACACAATTCGTTTGTCAGCAGCCTACTGAGCTACTGTCCTTGGGCAGTAATTCTTAGCTTTGGAGTAAGCAGAGAGAAAGGGATAATAAAACCAGAAAGGCAACATGTCATGATAGAAAACACAAAGCTTTGGAGAGCTTGCATGTGCTCCCAATCTCACCACCCAGTAGCTCAGAAAGTTGGGAAATCACAATTTCTCTGGACCTCGGTAAAATATTACCGCATACCTCAGAAAGCTGCTTCTCAATGTAGGATCCAAAGACACTAATTCCTCCCAATTCCCCTAAAAAAAAAAAAACCTAGCTGCCAGTACTGTACATTTTGGGATCAGTTTGGAAAATAAGACTCACAGACCTCTTCTCTCTGACAGTGTCAAACACATAATTCTCATACTTAAAGTCATAAAACAAACACAAATACACAAAACAAATTAGAATCCTTGACTCCTTTTGTTCTATGAAGCCTACAGCCATTTAATTACCAATTCAGTGCATACTCTCTCTCTAGATCTTATTTACTTCTCTTCATCTCCACAACTTAATCCAAGTCACCATCTCTTACCTAGGCTAAAGCAATTGTTACCTAACTTCTCTTAAAATCTTTTGATGACTTCCCAAACTCTTGAATGTAACTGAACTTTGTCTACCTCTGCAACCCCATCTTCCACTTCCCCCTTTTCTACTCCAGCCATGCCCAACTTTATTTTCATCAAGCCTTCAAACACATATTCCTTCTGTCTAGAAGTTTTCTCTGTCCTTCCACCTAGCTTAGACATCCCATTCTTCATCCTTCAGATCCCGATTTAGACATCAGCTGCCCCAGGGAGGTTTGATCTCAAAGTCCAGAATAGGTCCACCTTCCTGCCTACCTTTACACTCATCACTCTCGCACTCCTCAAGCTAGTTTGTACTTCTCAAACTCCTTTCCATTACTAGACTGCAAGCCCCATGAGAGAAGGGTCAGTGTTTGTAGTTTTCACTGCTCACTTCCCAGATATATGCCTAGTGCCTAATATATACACTGAAATAGTGACTGAATAAGTGAATGATTACAATTAAGCAAAAAGCTTACTTGGAAGGAAGATTTTGCACATATTTCCTTCATAAAAAATATTTTTAATTTTTTTAAATTTTAAAGAAAATTACAGATATAAACAAATGCAACCCTTCATAACTGTGCAGAAAAAATGACTTAAACGCATATACACTTTCTACAATTTTAACAGTTAATACTGAATATCATCATAAGGAGTTAAGCTACTGTCTCTGTGAGAATGATGCTCCTAACATTGTTCTAAAACTCTTATTTAAAAATCTCCTTAACTGGAAAAAGCAGGAAAAGGTACATATAATGCAAATTACAAACAAGAGAGTCAAATCATGCACTGGAGTGAAAACAGATGGAAATCTTTTTTTTGCCAGCCCTTCCACACCAAAAAAAAAAAAAAGAATGCTAGACACACTTGATAGAAATGTCACTTACTCCAAACAGCTTACCAAGTGAAGGTTACTGTGAAATACTTCAAATTCCATAAGCCTCAGGACTGCAAAAACTGTGGGGAGAGGAATGTTCCAAGCACAGACTAATGGACAGAAGGTACAAATGAAATAAACCCTAATGCATGATGACTATCTAAGGAAGTCTAAACTGAAGAAGACTGAATATATTTGTTCTTAGGTCATTAGCCATGTTTTAGTGTTTGAAATACATTCAAAATACTTAAGATATTTTGTCTCAAGTATAAATGAAAGAGTTTGTTATTAACTTTCTCTCCGTAGTTTAGTTTATGTAAATCTCTACAATTCAGACTTAGTTTTTGTATTTTGCCTTTTTTATCCCAACTATTTTATTTCTTATGTTTTTGTTGCCTATGCTAACCAGAATACAAGTCATACAAACTCAGAATTTTTATTATCATTTTGAGGATATGATCGCCCTTTTAATTCTGTTCATATTTTAACTCAGCAACTTTTAAGTTTCCATGATCAAGCTTCATTAGCTTGTAAACAAATTGTTTCTCAGGTAAACTGAATTGCCTCACTTCAGGAACTTAAGCAAATAAATAAGTACAAAAAAGGCAGAGATTATAAATTAGGGCAGACAAATCTGTATCTAGCCCCATGCCAGTAAAGAGCATTCTATCAATACAGTGAAATGCTAATCTCCTAATTAACAACCTAATTAGGTAATTATGGCTTTGCAGAGGGATGCCGAAATGAAATATGACAACATGGTCACCTCTTTATATGGCACCTGTGGGCCTTTTCAGCTGTCACTGCAACGAGTGCAATATCAATTTGAACAGATGACAAAGTGCTGTCATTTTTCATTCTGATAATACACAGAATGCTTTGGACAGAAACAGTCTACAAAAAGAAACATCTTGCCTGGTATTTTCCTAATTTAAATATGCTCAAATACTTCATTAAAAATTTTGCATGTTTTTTTATACTGCATATAGAAGAATTACCACAGACATTTAAGAAAAAGAAAAAAACCAACCTATCGTCATGTTTTACTGCTTATGCTGAAACTTGCAATTTCAGTTATGAAGTATATGATAATGAGGGAGGAGTAAAAGGCACCAATTCATCATGCCATTTTAATCTTTATACTTTTTGAATATTGTTACCAGAGAAATTAAAAACCTAACTTTGACCTTTAATTTTTTTATTCCAAAGAAATGTGAGATAGAATTTTCCATACCAAAAAGCACTTCCCAATACGTAAGACTTCAAGTCACAAAAAAGCTCTCTATACCCGTGGTCTAGCCTCACAGAGGTAAGAGTGTACTCCCTCTCCTGAGATAGAGCTGGCACAGGGCGGCTCACCATCCCAGTGGCTCCTAAAGTGACAGCAGCACTAGGGCCCAGTACCACCAACATGAAGATGACTCTTCTTCTGTGATACTGACTTAAATAGTGTGTTTGGGGAGGAAAGGAAGGATAGTTCAGGAACCTCAAAATCATTTATGTGAGAATACATGAAACCATAACCTCAGTGTAATACAGCTGAGCTGAAAACTAACCTGAAAATACAATCCATTAATAACTACAGATCACCTGCATTAGTGAAAATCTTTTTGGTTGAAATGCTATTCACTGGTTGTACTCATATTTCTTAATACTGAATTTATACTAAAATAATTTTTATTAAAAAATTATGTTTATCAGAGAATATTTTGGAAAGCAGAGAAAAACATAAAGACCTATGTCTTACCACCTATGTCTTTTTTTTTCTTTCCATATATGTTTAACATATTTGGGATCTTATTTTATAGTTTTATAACCTTTTTTCACTTCATATTACTATTGCGCATATTAGTGTCATTAAAATTCTTCAAAAACATCTAAAATGACTGCACTATATTCCATTTTATAGCTTTTCCATAATTTCTCTAACCTCTTTGTTGAATACTAAAGTTGTTTCTAATTTTTTTAGCTGTTTCTGATTTTGCTATTATAAGGACTGCTATAGTGAACATCTTTGAATATGAGTATTTTTCTACATCTCTAATTATGTCTTCAAGAAAGATTTCTAGACATGGAATTATAAGCCCAAAAGGCATGCATGACTTATTTTTTTAAGTGTTGGGATAAATATTGCCAAATTCTTTTCAGAAAATTTTTACCAATTTAGAAATATCTGTCCCCATTAGCAATATCTGAGTGACAATCTCACCACCAACCTCTGACAACAATGATAACTATGAATTTTATTAAATCTTTAAATTTCATAACTGTGACCAAATACTCTTACAATATAATTAATAACAACTTGCTGCAGGCATTATGGTTACATGAGTAAGAGGGGCCATGATTGATGGCCACCCCAAAACAACGGCCAGTTCCAGTATCCAAATTTGGACAGACTCCAAAGAGCCGTTTCCTGTTACAGTGCCCTAACATCTGAATGTCTTGTGCCCCTGAATGCTGGTACCTGTATCTCTCCAGTAGCAGCATCCTACTAGATACTTACATTAGTTGTTTCATTTACTCCTCACAAATACTGCATGAGATTGGCAGTATTGTCCTCATTTTGCAGATTGTCCATGTCATACAGTTAAGAACTGACAGAGCCAGAAGTCAATCCAGGTGGGTGTGACTCCAAAATCCCACCTCACATCACCTCAAGATTCAAGTCTGCACCTCAGTCTTCTTTGTTAGTCTCCTTTATGTCAGCAACTGAAGTTCAGATTAAAAATTTACTTTGTTTTAAAAAGAAAACCATTCCTTCCAACATTTTCTACCAATTTCTCTGCTGAAACAGTACTTATTTATAATACCTTAAAATGAGTCCCTAGGGAACTAACAAATGTTATTTTTTGAAGTTTTACACATTCAGTCCATTTTGTCTGCATCAATAATAAAAGCATATTCATAAAAGTACACTCAAGTATAAGATATGAATCTCACATTGCATATGTTTAGGGGTAAGTGTGACGTAATATTCCATTTATTTTATAAGCAATTACTATTATTTAATTCCAATAGTTATTCTAGTACCTTCTTGCTGTTGCCAGAGTTCGAGTTTTGTTGTTTAAGTGGTTTCTCCCATTTTTCTCAATTTCCTTTCCTCAGCTTACATTTTTCTCTACTGTTTTCTTCTCTGGGTCCAAATTTTGTGTTTCCTATATTAAATCTATTTCCCCAATATATCTAGACTGCTGCCAACTGGAGTTAATAAATTTTGAATGACTGCACAGGATTTATTTTCCTCATTTTTACATTCTGTTATTTCCTTACATAATAGAGTGAATGAAAACAAGTATCTAGAAGACCAATATTTCTTCAATTTTCACCTTGTAGAAGCTAGGTATTAAAATAAAATAAATTAAACTCTTCGACTGGTAACCCTGACCATATTTCTCTTACTATGCAGGGTGTCTCTGTGCTCCCTTTTAATCTTGTGTATACATAGTCAACAAATCATTGTATGCATTTGGGGAGCACCTGGCCTGTCAAGGTTCTTTCCCAGAAGTAATGAACAAAGAATAGAGGGAAGAAGTGAGCAGCGGCTCCCTACCTGCCATCAAGAGAGAAGGAGCAGCATTTTAGATTTGGGCCATTCTCCACTGGGGCCAGCCAGTAAATGGTTGGATGACTTTAAGCATGTCAATTAGAATCAGAAAGCTTGGCATCCTGGCAAGACTTGAATTGAGCTCCTCACTATCATCCAGATGGGAAAAAAAGTACAAAGATTGGTTAAGTGACCAAAATCAAAAGGCTGTAACATAGCTGTATTCAGAATTCCAGTCCCTCTCAATCTCGTGCACTTTCTACTAACCTGTAATTCACTGGACATCAATTTCTTGATTTCAAGAGGTTATGATTACCCCCTTGTTCATTTCATGGTATTAATCAGAGGACCAAAAGGGATAGAGATTTGGTAGCATTTAAAATGCTAAGAGCACAAAACAAAAGTATTACAAGGTCATCTCCTCATGCAAACCCAATCCTTTCTGAAATTTAGCCTGATTATATAATACAAGTATTCAACCTGCCAATTCCCCAAAGATATTAGTATGAGTCAATTACAACACCCACTCGGTCTAGCAATTTACCAGTAGACTTCAGATCAATAATCACAATGTGTACTGTACCTCCTACTTTGAACAGTGGGTACCAAAACTTCAGTGCTAAGGCAGATCGGATTCCAATCAGGCAGTCAAGGACTGTACAGAGTCCACAAATGTTTACACAGTAATTTTTTAAATGGCAAGTTGTTTAACTAAATACACTAAAATCCAGATTTTCAGCACCTCTTGGAAACAATCAGAAGATCCAGGGATACCGGGCCCACTTTCTCATACAGCAACAAGCAATGGGAGCTGCTACCTTTAGACTGCTCATATGCCTTCCAGTACACCAAGGTCTGTCCTACTCTTTCTATTACATCATGGGTACTTGAGATGGAGATCCCTAAGATAGATGCTCAAAAGAAAACTAAGTTAATAAATATTTGTTTACTCTTTTTTTGGCCAATTTTTTCTGGTGTTATCACTCACCAGCTGTGTGACTCTTGGGTAACATACTTAACCACTAAGCATTAGGCTACTCATGGAGTAATTGGGGTAATACCACCTATCTCACAGAATCATGAAGACTGAAAGAAATGAGGTATGCAAAAGCATTTAACAGTGACTAAAATATAAGTGCTCAATTATTTTAAATTTAACACAAGCTGAAAAGTGCTAACTTTTGAGAGTCAAAGCTTCTCAAAAACTTTGAACTCACAGAAAACATAAGGTCAGGGTACATTCCAATGGGTAAAAATGTAGTGTGATAGAACTCCTTGTCATAAAATAATTGGGTATCTATTGCTATATCCTAACAATAAGGCCTATACATCAGAATAACAGATTCCAGCAAGCTCTCTTAGCCTGAAGTATCTATAAATCTATCGAACTACAGGTTTCTAAAGTCTTCAGTTATGAGTCAACAAAACAAACCCCTACTTAAAAAAAAAAGGAAATATATTTAACTTGACAGAAGAGGGATGAACTACTTGAGCACAGAGATCACATTCATTCCTCATTATCCCTCCTGCCCAGCACAGTGACAGGCAGACTGAAGCTCCAGTTCAAGGGCTAGCCTCTTTCTGAAGCCTCTCCAGAGGGTCCCCACCCACATCACAAAGAAACATGGTGTAGTACTGAAGATACCAAAGTCTAGTAGACAATCTCTACTCATAGCTCCAACAGCTGCATAAACTTAAGGAATTTATTTAACTTGTCTGTGCTCTAGTTTCCTCATCTGTAACATCAGGATGCTAATAACACCTTCCTGTACAGGAATAAATGAGATAATGCATTTAACACAATGCTGGTACACTCTATAAGAGCTCATTAGCTACCATTAGCAGTGTTCACTCTTTGTGCTCCATTGCTCCACAGTACCCTGTAGGGACTGCTACCTTAGTACCTACAGTTCACCTGCACACATGTGTCTCCCTCACTGAAATGTCAGCCACTTCAGAGTGGGGACCTGGTTTTAGTCCTCCTTGCATCCCCAGGGTCTAACACTTTCCTTGGCACTGGCGAATGAATCATAGATGCTCAAAGTATTTATTAACTGGAAAAGTTATGAGCAGAAACTGAAATTTGCCTCTTGCCAGACACTCACTGACTCTGGCCCCTACTCACCCTCCAACTTTACCTCCCAGTATACCCACTAAAAGAACCAGCAGCTTGCTTTATTCAGCCTACTGGTCTACTCATCACTCTAAAATCACGCAACAGGTATTGTACCTTGGCACCTTACAGCTATCATTTTGGGGAAAACTTACCATACATCAGGCCATTATTTACATTAGTTCACTAAACATTCACAACACTCCATGAAGTCAATATTACCCCCTTATCCTCAACAAATACTTGAAAAAAATAATGCTCAGAATTAAGAAACTTGCCAAATATATCAACGATACCTTAATAAAAAATTTAAAAAAATCAATGATATCTTAATAAAAATTAAAAAATAAAAAATGCCATCCAGATAAAAACAAAAAGAAAGAAAGAAACAGGCCAAAGGTCACAGATCTAGTAAAAGTAGGGAGCAGGAACTGAATCCAGAGTCCACGGTTTTTCTCTACAGAGTGTCTCCCCACTCATATTCCATGTTGAGCTGACCCGTCTACCACCTTCTTGCCTTAGATCATGGTTTCACTACATTTAAAAGACTATCTGTACCATTCATTTTCACATTCATATTTCTTCTTCTGTACAGTTTTTTCCCATATGTACTTGCATATGGAGAGCTATAGTGTGAGAAAGAAGGCAAACACAAAATGGAAAAAAACACAGATGCAGGCATCAGACAGACCTGGTTTGAATCTGGGCTCTGTATTGTACAGATGTGTAATTTATCCTGAGTCTTCCTAATCTGTAAATTGAGGTTAAAGTAATTAACCTAGAGAAACCTATATATAATATGCAATACATAGTAAACAATAAAGCTTAGTTAATCCCACACTATGAAGTATTGCCTGGCCAGAGCACACTCCTCAAACCCCCTTCTGTGCTACTTACTGTATCACAGAAAGAACTCTCAGTGTATTTATCACTCTGTTGGAATTATTTCCTTATTTTTCTCACTAAATTGAGCTCTGTGGGCAAAGATTAAGACATATATCTCTACATTGTCTAGCAAGTACCTGGTATATATCCATACTCCATAAATGTCCTCTAAGTGAAATAATTGTAGATATGATAATGAGTATTTGTAGGATTCTAGAAAAGAAATCATTTTCGGTTGGGGTTGTCTTGAATTGGTTGAGGGATGCCAATTTCAGCTAGGCCTTGGGTATGGAAACAGAAAAGAAGAAATGGAGGCACAGAGAATGTCCTACCAAAAAAAAAACAATGGATACAGAAGGAGCAAAGGTGATTTGAGGTCCTACTTATCTATAGCAAAGGATCAGGACAGGGTAATCAAGAAAGACGGCTTTTTTCAAGCATAAATGGAAAGTTAGCGAGGAGCCAGATCAGTGGGTGTAGAAGAATGTGAGTGGAGTCTAGCATCAACAGTAGCTAAAGATAGGAGCACAAAGCTGAACGAGAAAGGGGCCACCAGCAGGCTTGCAAATATTTAAAGTGAAAGATAAAAACAATTACCCAATGCTTCATCAAGAACCCTTTCAGCTTTTGCTGAGCACCTTGAGGGCTCACAGAATATCAGCAATAAAAGATGGTGCCTCTTTTTCCTGCTCTAGTGGGTTAAGTTAGTAATCCACCCCTTTTGCTTGTCAAAAATACAATGAAAATGTTGACTTTTAACTGATGTGTGTAAAAACCTGTCTCGATTTGTTCACACCTGGGAGAAATTTTGAACTTTGGTGGTTCGGTTTGTAACAACGTAACGCTTTGCAAAATACTAGGTACTACAATAGTCTTCAAAAATTACTTGAGTTCAGTTCAGAATGAAATTTTAACCAATTTCTGAGTCAACTTTTGGGTCTCCAATTAAAGCAATACTCTTGTTTAAATTACAATCATTTTTTTTTAACCTTAAACAGATCTATAAGTCTCTGTATCACTCCTAACAAAAAGCTAAATCAAAAGTTCCAAAAGCACTCCAGCTAAAAAAACAAAAACAAAAACAGTTCTACTAGGCTGCTTACCCCTTCGGGGCAATCGGGGAGAAAAGGTGCTAGGAAACAAAGACCACACAGTGCTTTACAAAACTGAGTTTTCACGTTATGAAGATGAAGACGCCTAAATGTTGCAGAATGTAGAGCCAGAAACTGCAGGCACTACTGGCTCAACAGTACCCTCCCCCCGCCCAACACTCCCAGGTGCGGTAGCGTCTCCTCCCCCAAATCACACGCCCAACTGTCAGGCTCACAGCAGCTTCCAGTTCTGGAAAGAGCCAGGAAACGGATGCTCACGAAAGACCTGAGCAAGGGCCGTGCAGGCTCCCCTCTCAGCAGTGCCGATGGAGGAGGAGTACGGAGTGCCGCGAGGCTCCTCGGGTAGTCTGGCAGAAGAGCAAGCCAGTGGGCCAGCGGCTAGGGCAACCTTTACCTGAAGCTGCTGCCACACTACGGGCCGGGTCGGCCCCGGGACACGTTCCTGAGCGGAGGGCCCAGCTTGCCGGCGCCTTCCAGCCCCTCCGCACTCTCGGAATTCTCGGGGACTGGCGCTTTCCCAGCCTGCTTAGCTGCCGCTTTCCCGGCTCGCCCTCATGTCAGTACCGGTAGCAGCCGCAGGCCGGCCGAATAGCACCCTCGTTGCCTCGAACCGCGGCACAACCCGGAACAGCACCCCACGCACCGGAAGTCCCCGAACGGAAAGCAGCGGCTGGCCGGGAACGTAGTGCGCAAGCCCCAGAGCTGAGCGCTAGGAGCAAAGCCTTCCCGGGGGGCGGGGCCGAACTGGAAGCCGTGCGCATGCGCCCCTCTTCCCGGATTCCCGGTTAAGCCTGGGTTAGAGATTAGCTGCGAGTCGGGCGAAACACGCCAAACCCTGGAGATGCGTTGGGTAGAAATCAACGTTAGCGTTCTCCTTCGAATCTCCATGTCCTTCCTTCTCGCTTCCACGGAGAAAAGCCCTCAGATCATCCAGAAATGAGTGATGAGGCAATTTAGCCTTTGGGTGGAGAAAACCTGCCAGCTCAAACTTGCTGTGTATCCTAGGATAAGACACCTCCCCTCTCTGACCCTCGGTGCTCCCATCCATACCATAGTTAGCAGATGAGAGTATTACTGTGAGAACCAATGGGATGATGCTTTAAAAACACTCAGTACAGTGTCTGACACAATAATCGCTTAGTAAATGTTAGTAATTACTCTTCTTATCTGTAAAATTTAGATACTTATTTTTCTAAAGACTCGCAGGGAGGTTTCCGCGAGATACGAAGACTGGCACAGAGCAGCATTTGCTTGTTGGCGGTCTCTCTCCCAGACGGAATCAGGTGAGGGGATGGCAGCCACTTCTGTGAAGAGGAAGGAAGAACTCAAGCAGCACGAGAGACGGTCCAGAAAGTTCTCTCAAAAATGCACTTTAGCAAAAGAAAAAAATACATCAAAGCTGCATTTCAGCCCTGGGGAATTCTTACCCAATTTTAAAGTCATCAATAAATACACCATGGATCCTTCCCTATGTGTTCAAATATATGACTGATGTTTTAGCTCATACCGAGGAGAACAATTCACCTCAACACCCAAAAGCGCTCCTGCACCCACACACACACACCACCACAGTTCCACTGGGGGCTTGTTGGAGGAGCTCTATCAAAACAAACGGTGTGAACAAGGTTGGATATTCAGTTTTCTGAGGTCAACAGGTTAGCAGTCCCCTTCATTTTCACTGCTCTCCTGAGCTCCAGTCTGAAGCACAGCAGCCTCAGAAACACAAAACTCAACCTATCTAAAACTGAAATCAACTGAACCCGCTAAACTTTTACAGGTCTTAAGGACTGAATACCCAACTCTACTGCCTAAAAGCTTTATGACTCCATCTCTCCAAGCTGCCTATCCAAATTTCCTTATCTGTAAAATGGGAATGACCAAAGCCCTAACTAACCTATTGGGTTGTTGTGACGAGTACATAAACTAATACACATAACACACACAGACTAGAGCCTGGCATGTAGCTAATATTTACATTAAAAAAGTTTACCACTATTACTACACCTCAGTCAGTAAACAGATACTTATTGACTACCTATGTATTAAGCCTATGCTTGGCACTGGAGATTCAGTGAAAAGTGAGACAGGGACTCTTCCCTCATGAAGTTTATAGTCAGATTTGACCATGCTTTTGAAATAGCCACCATGGCAAGTTGGAGAGTTCCAGAGAAATATGGTAAGATTTCAAGGACCGTTTTGAGGGCCTCATTGAGAATGGGATTCTGAATTTATGGTTATACTAATATACAGTGTGGGTAAAATTGTAACATTTCCAGATTATCTCCCCTGGCTTTAGTTCATTTGCATGGAGAGAAGTTCATCTCCATGTCAGTGGGTAATTACCTGGGCAACCCAGGGCGTATCTGAACCTGAGAGTTTAAGGGGAAGGGCTGGCTTGCTTGCTGGCTTGCTTCTTCCGGAGCAGGGGAGAGAGCCGGTGCTGAACTGCATTTTGTAAGCAATAAATGGGTTTTGAACTTTATTTCTCCCTTTGACTGATTTCAGTTTTTTAGAGGTATTTTGCCCCGGGATTTCCTCTCCCCAGACTTACAAACGGTTTTGTGTGATTTTTCACCATGGATAGTTTGAACAGTTAAGGTACTGGTGCACAAGGAGTGAGCAGTTGTGTTAGACCAAGGAGTTTTGCCAGAGTCAAGGAGTTTAAGTTCTCATATTTTAAGAGTTTTAAAAACAAAAGGCTACAAAAATGGTTGCTGGGTAGGGTGAGAGAATCCCAGAAAGGCTTATGTTACTGGCCTGGAGGTGCCAGAATAGGTGTAATGGAAGTCACAGATGCAGCAAGACAGAAAGATGGAAGTTATTTTCAGAGATGGATGTCTTAATGAGTAACCTCAGATGAAGAGCTCATGTGAGAGTGAGGTCCTGGCTGAAGTGGAATAGGGGGAAAAGCTATTGAAGATGAGATGGCCAAGGAACCAAGATGCTGACCTCAAAAGCTCCAGGAATGATGGACAGACGTAGGGTAAAAAGGATACTAACCAAGCCATTCTGCAGCAGTGGAACACCACTGAGGAGGTAGGTAGATGAGGAAGAGAGAGGGCAAGCCAATGGCATGGCTTAGGCTCCATGGAATGTGAGTCGCATCGGACAGTAGAGGCAGCATGAAAAAGCAAAGCATACATTAACCTATCTCCTGCTCCAGCGGTGTATGGGAATAGAACCATGACAGCTGACACACACAGAAAAATTATATTTTTATAGCATGTTGATGATGGTGGGCCAGGGACTGGCTGGGGAACTCCAGGAGACATGAGGGTGGAGGGACCAATACCTCAGCAGACCTATGACAATGAAGTTTCACAAATTTGAGTTTCAACTTGGGAAGAAGGCCATGACAGAGGATAGAGTTTCCTTTTCATATGGTCCCCAGGACTAGAAGAGAGGCAATGGACACCTACTAGCTGTGTGTCCTTTGATCGTTTATTTGCCTTCTCTATGTCTCAGTTTCCTCATCTACGTTGTAAGGATTCAGTGAGGCAATCTGTGGAGACTGCTTAGAACATTGCCTGGCATATGGGAAGCATTCTGCAAATGCCAGCTCTTATGACCTGGCACACCAAGATGGGCCGCAAGAATCAGTTCCCTTTATGCATATGCTTTCCTCAATTCCTGCTCAAACATCAACTGCCCTTTCCCTCTCCCCTCAGTAAATTCCTCCTCTTCTTCTCCTTCTCCTCCCCACCGCTCCTCTTTCTCTTTCTCCCTCTTCCCCTTCTTTATCTTTGTGCGTGTGTGCACGTGTGTGTGTATTAAAACAAGACCATTTATTATTTCTCAAGATTTTGTGTGCTGGTGGTTGGTTCTTCTGCCAGCCTGGCCTTTCAGTCAGCTTGCAGCTGGAAGGGTTGGAAGGTTTAAGGCAGCTAGAAATGTTGACCAGGGCACCTTGGTTTTTTTCCTGGTGGTCTCTCTAATGGCTATTGTTCTTGGGTTTCTACATAACATAGTGGCAGTATTCTAAGATGATAAGCCCCAGTGTGCTTTTAAAAAAATTCTTTATTATATATATGCATATATATACATATTTTTATTTTATATATATTGTTTATGTATTATCTACATCACTTTATATGTATATACATATATATATGCTATTGTAACCATTTCTAAGTATATTCCATTCATTCTTGAAGGCCCAGTTCACATACTGCTTCCTCCAAGAAGCATTCCCAGATCACCTCTCCCTAATAGGCCACATGAAGAGCTTCATTCTCTGTGTTTAACATTTATCACATTTCCTGTTGTTCTTTCAATACACATCCATCTCCCTGACAAGCCTTAAGGAAAGGTACATTTCTTATATTTTTATATACTCAAAGCTTAAAACTCCATAAACACCTGGCAAAATGCATGTTAAATGAAAAGGTACTCAAAACACACACACAAAATGAAGCAATTGGAAATCTTATTTTGTGTAAGCAGAATTTGCACATGGAAAGTACTGCTTTGCCAAACCTATGACAACAAGCTGAGAGTAAACATAATAGGATGAAAGTAATGTTCTTTCAAGCCCTGCCAGAACTGTAGGAAAACGGAGGCACCTTCTAGTTTCCCTGCAAATGTATGTTTTTAATATTTTATATGTGTGAATGTATTTCCCTGCTATTTTCCCAGTTTCGGTTTTCTCTTCTTTTAAAAAATATATTTTCCTCCCACAAGCAAAACAGAGGTATTTATACCCCTATGGTACAAAGCAATCTCAGGAAAAGAGTAAATTAGGTGTCAAAAACCCACTCAGACTATTTTAAAGAAGCCCACAAGAAGTATACAATTTCAGAGCAATATAGCATTTTTTTTCAAATTAAAATAACATTTCAGTGTGAAAGAATTTTTTCAAGCAAATATTTTGCTTATAGTAAGGTGAGTTTGGTGGGTGGGAGGGAAGCACAAAATTAATCAACCAGAAAATCTTAAACATACCACTTTGCAGATACAATTTAAGTACAGATCAGTTCTGGGGGCTCTGCAGAGATTGTGTGCTGAATATTATTTCTAGTGAGTATCCCTTTTTAGTTATTTAGGCTGAAAATGAAACATCTACCTAGTATTATTTAGTATCTCTCTGGTTACATTTATGTATAAATGTAGTCCCTTCCCCAAATGCAGACCTTATAACCAGCTTCTAATATAATCTTTTCTTGCTTTAAAGGTTAGCTAGTACTGTGAGTGCCTAAATTAATTGATGTTAACAGGATTTAGGATGTAAAAAAACAGACTCGTATGTTTTGTCAAATGCAACTTCTAAGAATGCATAATTAACAGTGTCTCCATTAATATACAGTATGTTCAACAGTGAGACACCGCTATCATAAATAAAGGTAGACATGGATAAATTTATAATTAAAAATGCATTAGAAATTACAAGCATAATTTATTTACTAATGTGCACTGGAATAAATTTTATGTGTAATATTTTAAAACAGGGCATTAATAAATAATAGTGAACATAAAATGTTTTTGCAGCTAAAAATATTTCAATAAATATTAGTAAGTTAAATGTGCTGCAGAATTATAATTGCTATGAAGTAAAGTTTATAGAATACAATCACAAAGTAAAGGACTGTTTCTTGGGTGTATTCAAAATATCAGAAACAAATAACTGTTTTCTTTGATGCTGACAAGTAAGATATTCAAA